ACAGGGGTACCTAAAGAAGATGTAGGACAACACAAAGAATATCCAAAAGACACCAGGTGTCACATCACCTAGAAAAGCAGAGGGACTTGATTCTATTCTTTGTTTTTAAGAGGCAGAAATTACATTTAGTACACTAAAAATGCAGTATAATTATTTATATCCAAACTCCAGATAGCAGACAAAAAAATCTGAACTTACTAATAAATGATGCAAAGGATTTCTCAATATGTCTTCTTAACATTCAAAACCATTCTGATTTTATTGAAATGAATGCAGCTTTATCTTACAATATTTCGGAAGCTAATGCCTTCTCCTGTGTTTCATAATTTTAAGGTATAATTACAAGCTTTGTTGCCTTTTTTTTTTCAGAATAATTTTGCATCCCACTGTGTTTTATTAGAACCAAAGTCTTACTGCAAATGAGCTGAGGTCAGAACAGTTTTACACAGTGCTGAGAGATCTGATGCACCGAAGGAGACAGACAGAAGAATCAGGGAAGAATGTGACTAACCTTGTGTAAACACACGAGTGCTCTTGTGTCCAAGGCCAGTATTGATGAGGAAGCCATTCTTTGGTCCTCTGGTCACTTTATATTTCAGGAGTCTGTGGGGACTGTCCTGATCTTCTGCCTTTAGAGACTTGCTGGTAAGGAGGAAGCCCATGTGCCCAGTGTGAAGGCGTTTCAAGGCTGGGGCTCCCCTGTTAATGGCAATCTGGGGGAGGCTGCTGTTGCCGGAGCTTATCTGAATCCTCATTACCTGGGGTTTGTGTGTCTCCAGGGCAGTGTCTGGGAAGACACAGAAATCAGTGTGAGTGCCATCCGTCACAGTCAAGGAGAAACTGTCTTCAGGGTTTACACTGCCATCATGCCAGTAGCTAATCAGATTCTCGTTCAGGTCTCTCTTGGTAAAAGTGGTCACAGGATGGCTACTATTATACAAAACCCTGCCGTGGGTGGGGACCTGGATGATGGTAAAGAGAAGAAGATCATCTGGGGTATCTTCGTCTTCCACTGTTAACTCAAATGGGGTGATCAGCTTCCTGTCTCCTCTCTGGAGTGTTAGTTTATAGATGGTCAAGATAGGTTTCTTACTGTCCATATCCTTGATGAAGATCCTGAAGGTTCTGAACACAGGGTTGCGTCCATCAGTCACTCTCAACTCAAAACTATCTGTCTTTATCCCATCAGTGGAAGTGTGGACATAAGATATTTTGTTGTCAGTCAATTGTAACTGAGTAAAAGATACAATGGGTTCCCCAGGATGGTTAGAGCTTTCCAAGTGACCCAGGCTAGGAGCCACGGTAATGCTAAAGTGAAGTTGTTCATCAGGGCTGTGGATGTCACTGGTGTTAAGCACTTCAGTGGTAAGAGTCACTCTGCCACCTTCCTGTAAAGTGACTCCTTTGCTGACCACCTCAGGGAAGACCCTGTTTAAGCTGCCAATGGTGACATAGAAGTAGCGGTCTATCAGAAAGTTAACCCCATCAGTCACATCAAACTTGAAAAGGTCAACAACCTCTTCTTGGCCGGTGTGAGTATAACAGATGAGGCCTCTGTTAATTTCATCCTGGGTAAAGTTCATCCCCAGAGTGAGGTTGTTCCTCACTTCTCCTTTGGGCCTTCTTAGTCGTTGCAGAAGTCCTTGTCGTGGTCCAGAATGGAGGACAAAACTGAGGCTCTTATCATCTGAGTCAAGATCTGTGGCCTTGAGGACCTGCTTTGTGATGACCTTAGAGTGTCCAGGCTCCACTCCCAGACCCCTGTTGATGGTCAGCTGTGGGGTTTCATCATTCACCAGGATCACCACAATGGGGACCTTCTTATGGGTGGTATGCTTGCCATCACTCAGCCAGACCTCAAAACTGTCCTCGGTGGTCTCTGAGTCATCATGCTCATACACAATGGTGGAGGCCTCCTGGATCTCCTGTAATGTGAAGCTGTAGACAGGCTGGTTACCTGTGGCCAGCTGCTGTATGATTTGTCCATGCCGAGGGAGGGCTGTGAGTTGAAAGTGGAGCTTGTTTGGTGGTAGGTCAGCATCTGCTCCATTGAGCAGTAGGGTGTCTATGACTAAGCTCATCCCCTCTAATACCACAAACTCTCGGGTAAAAAGTTCAGGTTGCTCATCATTGGTGGGTAAGATGATCACAGGGAGGAAGACTTTTGGGGAGAAGTTGATGCCATCAGAGCAATACAAGGTTAATTTGTCTGCTTGTGGCTCGACCCCCTTGTGGATACTCTGTACATAATTGATATGCCCCACTTGGACATCCCTGATGGAGAAGGCACTGATGGGGCTACCAACCCGTGACACATCTGAACCAGGAGCTGGTGCAATGTTTTCCAGGTAGCCAGAGGCTGGCTGACCAGTTATTATGCACAGGATTTTATCATGGGGTGTGTCCACATCTGCAATCTTGAGATGTTGCAAAGTTAAGGGGACCTTCCCACCTTCATAGACAATGAAGGACTCCCCCACCAAGATCTTGGGGGCCACATTGTCCACTGGAAGCACAGTCACTTGAACCTGCACCCTCTCAACTATGCTGTCCCCCACTAATGAGTGATAAGAATCCTTGGAGAGGAGGAGGCTGAAGACATCAAGCTGCTTATGGAAACCAACTTCACCTCCAGTGTGGACATAGGCTACTGCCCCACTGATGAGGTTCTCTAGGGTGAATTGCTCTGTGGGCAAACCATTCACCAGAATAATGCCCAATTTGGGACCATTCTCCACAATGAAAGACAGCATTGAGTTGTTCATGTCTTTTCTGACATGAATAACACCTGTGGTGATTTCTGTGGCACTATTCTCCAGTACATCTATGGAAATATCCAAAAATGGACTACCTGGGATTGAGATCCTGGGACTTTTGTTAACAGTGGGATGTACAGAAATCTGGACAGTGATGGGTATGCTGTGTACCCCGTCACTTACCTCCAGATGGAAGATATCACTGGTACTCGAGTCTTTGCTATGCTGGTAAGAGACACTCCCATTAATGATATCAGCTCTCATGAAAGATTCCCCTGGGACCATATGTTTTTTACAATACTGCAAATGTCCATGTTGGGGACTGCAGACTAGTGTGAAGACAATTTGGTCAATGTCTGTGTCAGGATCTATAATATCCAGCTCATTACTGCTGAGGATAAAGCTCTCTCCCTCTAAGATAACAAAGCCTCTATTGATGACTTCTGGAGGCTGGTTGTCCAAAGGCTGCAGGAACAATGTGAATGTGCCTGGTACACTATTGCCTGCAGCATCTTCTACCTGGTAGGTAAACTGCACAACTCGAGGTGCAGTACCCAGCTTCTCCTGTGGGGGCCGGTAAGCAATCTTGTGGTGATTTACCTGGGCCTGGGTGAAGTGCATGATGGGAATGTCTGGTGAATCAGCAAGCACAATTTCTCCAGTCTGGACGTGGTGGTTGCTATCTGTATCAGTTGGGGGTGTAAGTAAGGTGTACCAAAGTTTCTGATCATCTAAGTTCTGGTCAATGTATTGGAGGAATTTCTTCTGAAAGTGTGTGAGTTGGTATTCGTGTACAGTCATTTTCAAGGTAGTTCCTGGATATAGCTCTGGACTTAGCATATCCATTGGCAGGGCATTTATGGTGAAGAAGTGCTGCTTGGATAGATTGGGTGGGTCGTGGTCATCCTGCACATGGAAAGGCAGCCGTACCATTGCAGATTGAGGGCTGTGTGGTCCAAGATGGCGGAAGAAGAGCTTCCCTTCTGTTATGTCTTTCTGCAGCCACTCAGTCACAACCTTCTCATAAAGTCCTTCTTCTTCCACATAGTACCAGTCATCTAGAGGGGACAGAGGTGGTTCAGCCTGCTGCAGCAACATCTCCCCAAGGTACTGACTTGAGGAACCAGAGGCTAGATCCCATTCTCTCTCTTCCTCTTCTCCCTCCAGGGGATGGTCGTCCAGCACAAAGCGGATGGTTGAATCTTCAGAATCAATATCCTTGGCACTTAGGACAAAGGGGGAGATTTGGACCACCTGCTGTTTGGTCAGTGAGAGTCCTGTGTTGGCACTGACCACTGGGGGCTCATCATCCACAGGTATGATGGTGAGGGGGAAGAGGAATTCCACCTGGTGGTGCCCATCCTCCATCCGGAAGATTATGTTGTCACTGTAGGTGTTGCTGCCATCATGCTGGTACACCACTCGCCCCATTGCCAGGTCCACCGGTGTGAAATACTTGTATCCTGCAGGTGCCCCAAGTATCACCAGCTGTCCATGTCTCAAGCCTCTGACTGCAGTCAATTTCACCTCTTCCAGGTTATCTCTATCACTAATCTGAAGGTTGTGGTTACTGGACAGGGACTTTGACTGACCTTCAAAAAGCAGCAATCCCCTGTTATAGCTAGTCACTGGGGCCAGGGCATTGATGGGCTTCACTACCACGATGAAGCCAAAAGGGTCTGAGGTAGCGCCATCTTCATCCACCACCTCCAGCTCCAGCTGGAAGATGCGCTCCCCGTCAGAGCTCTCTGTAGAGGGCTGGTAGGCGATTTTCAGCTCCCTCAGCTCCTGCTGAGTGAAGAAGGAGACTGGAAGGCCCAGGGGGTCGTCAGTGCTGACCACGTAGCCCTGCTGGTTTGGGTGCCCTGGTGGGGCTGTGGGGGCATTGAGAATGTGGAAGACCAGGTCATCAGGGTCTGACTCAGTGTCCTCTGCTGCCAGGGCATCCGGTGTCAGGGCTGTTAGCACCAACTGATCAACTTCCACCATCATCAGGGCCGCTAAGCTGGGCCTGGGCGCCGTGTTCTCCGCTCCCTTCCGGATCCTCACTAGAAGATGAAAGTGCTCACGGATCAGCACATCTGCCGAGCCAGCACCTGGGCCCTCTCGTCCTAGCAGCTCCACCATCATGGGCACATAGTCCCGATTGGGCCAGGAGGTGGTGGGGGTGTGCTGGTAGCGCACTCCAGCCAGGACGAACGCCTCACAGTCTATCGGCTTGCCCCTGGGGAGCGGATCTCCGGTGGCATCCACCAAGCGCCCGTACCTGGGCAATGGGTCACCCTCGTGAGGAAGCGGGGTGAGCCGGCACCTGCGGGTGGCCGGGACTCCAGACTTGGGGGAGGCAAAGTCCAGCACTCTCCTGTCAATGGTCTGACTCCAGCCCCGCAGTTTGAACACCGTCAAAGGCCTGTTGCGCGTCACCAGCTCCAGCTGGGAGAAGACCACGTCCACAGCCAGCGTGAAGGGCAGCACCAGCGCGTAAGTACCGGCGTCGTAGTGCAGCTGCAGCCGCACCCGGGCGCGTCTGGGGCTGCGCGAGCCGAAGTGAGTGTACTGGACCTGGCGAGCCCCAAAAGCACAGGGGAAGCGGCGAGGAGAGAGCGAGCCTTGGAACGGTGGCAGGACGTCCAGCACTATTACCTCGCACCGATCTCCCGGCTGCACCTGGATCTCCAGGTCTCGGTGTGGATCGAGCCAAAGCGAGCGGCCCAGGGGCACCCGGAGCCCGGGGTTGGCAATCAGGACGCTGGGGCCCTCCTGGTTGCTCCCATTAAGTGCTCCCCAGGCAGGCAGGTAGAACACCGGTTGCGTCTCGTTGTCCGGAGGGGATGCCTGTCTCTGCAGCGCTCCACAGCTCAGGAGCAGGCAAGAGAGCGCCACGACAAGCTGTGGGGGCGTCCCAGAGGGGGTCCGAGAATCTCCAGCCATAGCCAGAGATGAGACCCTGGCTTTTGGATGCCTGGAGGGTGCCCTATCCAAAGAGGGGTTCCACTTAGCCGCAGGTGCAGGAGGCGGAGGCGGTGGCTGCTGTCAGGTCAGGTGCGGACGCGCGAATCCAGCAAGAGCCAGCGGCTGCCTTTTGGCTGCGGCAGGTAGTAGCTGGGGAAGGGGATCTGTCCACCTCCTGCTCAGCCCGGGTCCCAAGTCTCTCCTCTGCTGGCGCCAGGGACCGCCTAGATATTCCCCAGCGCGGGAGACCTAGAGAGGGTGCAGGCGCTCTGTCCTCCGCTCCGGGTGGCTTTACCCGCTACCTTTCAGACCTTCGCGCAGAGAAGGGTGACCGGCCAGGGTGCAGCCCCAGACTGCCTGCGTCGGACCAAGCTGGTCCGGATACTCTCTTCAGTGAGTGCCACAAAGGGATTGTCCCTCAGGGGTCGGAGAGAAACCGAGAGAGACTGTAGCCGGGTCAGTCCTACGCGTGGGAGACACCGCTCTTGTGGCGTGGTCCATTCATTCGGGAATGGTGTTTCTGAAAGAGCGGAGAGACACCATTCCTCTTCCTTATCGCTGACAGGAGTGCATTTTCTTGCCAAAATTGAGTCTCACTTTGGACCTCAAAAAAGCTGGCGGGAGCTATTTTGCAAATAGGATTTTCTAGCTGTCCGATGAAGCAGTTTATTCCAGGTTTTGTGATTCCCTGTTTCCAAAACAACCCTGCCATTTTTTTTTTTCCTACTCAGCTTTTGGGAAAAGGGAACAACCTTCAGGCTGGCAAACTTGAATAGCTTGTAATCTGTTTCTAATCAGTGGGTCTCACATAAAGCAATCCAGTGTACAGGTCAATTTTTGTCCATTTTTTTTTTCAGCATGTGGCTTCCATCTCTGATCAACAGAGACTGTGAGTTTATTAGACGTATTGTTTCCTAATTCCTTTCTTTGTATAAAAAAAAATATACAGTAGCCAGAAGGGAAGATATCAAGAGAAACAGTAGCAGAGAAAATACCACAGACACTTGCATTCATCTCTACGAATCAATCCATTTAACACCCATAATCGGACTCTCAGACCCTCTGTGGGTGTCTTGTTAGGTACAGATTCATCTTAATTTTTTAAGTATTAGAAGAGTCTGGTCACTGTGCAGAACACTCTTTTCCTTTACAAAAAAAATATTAGGTAATGTATTTTCTCATGCAATTAATATGAACCAGGGCTACTTTTTGGTCACAGTAAAAATGGAGGCATACAAAATTGTACTGATAAAAATGGTTTCAAGAGGAATACAAATCCCCCCTAAATTTTATTCCTTTTTTAAAACAATGTTGCAGATGCCTATTTTATTCACTTTAGTAGCTTTAATAGTAGTAGCAGCAGCAGCTGCTGCCAATTCTCCAAGTAAGAATAATGTGCTAGTACCTTGAAAGAGTTAATTTTCTCTTAAATATTAAATTTAATCATCCAGTGAAATGCTGTGCTCTATATAATCCACTAAAGTAGAATGCTAGTACATTTCTTTAGCACACAAATTTGTTCACATAACAGAATTTTAAGAGCTAGTATATTTGAAATAATGTATGTTTAACCTAGTTCAGTGTGTGCAGAAAATATTATTTTAAAATATTTTTAATTGAAATACAGATAAAATTCTATTACAAAGGAAAGAGGCATTGCTATTTCATAAAGCTACTGCTTTGCCCAAGGATGAGTTTTTACAAAAGAACACTTGTTAGTCTGCATATATTAAATTTTGCCAAGTGAATTTTCCTGTGTAAGTGTAGTTTTTGTTTTTGAAACCAGCACCACTCACTTTGGGGCAGCAGCTTCTTCATGTACTGTTTCCATTAAAGACAAAATTTGAGGTAGCAGCTAAGACTAAATTGCTATATTTATATTTTGGTCTTCTGGCTTGCCTTTTCCGGCATAATTCCCTCTCCCCTTCATCACCATCTAATGTCTTCAAAGGTTCCCCCACCCCCATAATGTATCCATTTCTTCACTTGCCTCTGAGGACACTCCTATCTGGTTTCTATCTGAGACACACCAACAAAACTCTTTCTCGGGTTATTAACCTACATGTAGCAAAACACTATGATACCCTCTCCTCTGGTCCATATTGCTGCACCCTTCTGGTTTTCCTCCTATGTTCCAGTTAAGTCCCACTTCTTCAGGAAGACTTTTCCATGTGGTCCCTGAGGCATGTTACTAAATTTCTGTTTAACTTCATATCCATTCATTCACTGGTCTGAAAACTTCTGGGCTGGTCTTGAGTTTTTTTCTGAGAGCAGAGAATATGCAATGCTCACCATTAATGCCCAGAACTTATGCTAATGACTGGCATGTAGCATACATGTAGCAGGAATGTAATAAATATGTGTTGACTGAATGAACAGATAGATGCAAGAGCATAATAAATAGTCACTGACATCATGCAGTCTAGGTGCTAAGTGAAGGGATTGATGCAGGTGAAGCTTAACTTCCTTTCATCCTTAGAATATGCCAGTTCTTTAAGATTGCTGTCAGCTCTGGTTAGAGAATGCAAATTTGATTTTAGCCAAAATTTATATTATCGATCTCTTCTTTCCATGGAGCAGTTTATTTATCCATATTGCCCTTCTAAATCTCACCACCCCAAATTTATCTTTTAAGCCTGAGCTGCATTACAAGTGTAACAGAAAGCAGGAAGGAAAAGAACTATAAACTATGCTCTGTGCCCAGGGTTTTCATAAGCTCTACATCAAGTGATCCTTGAAAAATCCCTGCAAGGTGGTTATGAGTCTTATTCGTAATTTATATGCAATAATAGAGCTACACTCTATGTAGCTGTTATAAGAATTGAATGGATTACTACACATAAAAGACTTTGAATAATGCCTGGCATACAGTCAGCACTCAATAAATGTAAGTTACTATTATAATTATAGATGGAAAATTGAGATTTACAGGAGATAAGTAGAAAATTGATAAGTACTAAATTGAGATTTACAGGGGATAAGTAGAAAAATTTTACCTTGAAAATTAATCCCACTATCACTAAAAGTGTAACCTACAGGGAAGGACTCCTCCATGCCCTTGACACTCCAGGGGGACTTTCTGTTTTGTCCCATTTCTTAAATAATTGGCTTTGCCCTGGAGTTCACAGAATAAATGACATTCAGGAGGTAATAAAAAAGAGACTATGTGTCCAAATATTCTGCATGTGCTTTGGCAGAGTGATGATCCATTTTTAGCAAAGTCATATTCAGCTTTCTGGAAAGTGACAGAACAGGTGGGAAACGTTCCGTTCCTGCCTCAGGAATGAGGACACCTACAACAGCAATTCTTACTTCCCCAAGCGAAAGCAGCCACAACCAGCTAATCAACCTGATCATCGCTGAAGTCATTTTTTTCTCTACCAGCTGGAGGAAGGCTAAGTTCTTATACCCTGATTATCAGAGGATGATCACCTTGAATTGGCTTAAGCTACACTTGGAGGCTTTGCTGTAATTGGCTTTGGGCCCCCCGATGGACTCTTAAACATTGAAGAATGTGCTCCAGGGAGGATATGAGTAAAACACAAAACAAAGTGAAACCTTACAATGGCATCTATGAGCTGTGTAGGTTATTGTCAGGACTGCAGCATGCAGGGAAGGTAGCCAAGTCACACAGCCTATCTGCTTTGTCCCCATTACACACATAACCAAGGGGGCTCCTGTTTCTGATTAGTTTCTCCCAGTCTGAAGAATGCAATGGCTACAGCTGCACTTCACTCACTGTATCCCAGGGCCGTGTCTTTGTGTAGATCTAGACCAGGTTCTCTATGCACTGCAGGATGACACCCCTGTTCTCTGTGCCTGTGTATGTGACAGGACATTATTAAGGGCAGGCTCCATCCAATGGGGCAAACAGAAGATGAGAGTAACTACACAGTATGTACCTAAAAATTTCCCAATGAAATTGTAACTGTTCCCTTTAAAGAAGTGGTTTAATCAAGGTACACCGATGCTGTCAGAGTGTTTTGGGACTAGGTGGTGTGGAAAAGGAGAGGGAGAAAGGAAATCAATGCTTTGCCTGTCCTTCTGAGAGATCAACTGGCATCGGGAAGAGAGTCATCCTTGAGGCTGTTGGGTGCCTGATCCCTGATTTCCAGAGCATCTCCTCAGGCTCTTACTGCTCAGGGAAAATGACAGGCAGCAAGAACAGGGAAGTGGGTGGAAGGCAGATGGAGAAGATTTTTTTTGCTGCTCTGCACCAATACAAAGAGTCGATTCAAGCTCCCTCATTCCTGGTTGCAATAAGACCTTGGGAGAATGAAAGGGATTCTTCAGAACTAATTTATGACATGATAATTGATCATCTTACTTTAAATCATACAACATATAAAAGAAGTAACTTTTTTTTTTATTTCAAAGAGAGGCACTAGGAACAAACGTAAGCCAGAATCAAAATTAATAGGTTGAGAGTTTTTTTAACCCACCTGAAATGCTTTGTTCTATTTATTGTATGTGTAGGAACAATGTTTATTTCTTGTAATATTGTTACAAGTATTGGCAGTAAAAACTCT